GGAGGGGGCGAAAGGTTGGGGGGAGTGGAATGAAAGGTGCACGAGTAGCAATAGGAGGGATATCTAAAGGGTCTTCTACAAGTAGAGGGATAACTAATTCACCTCCTGGGATTGAAAAGAAAAAACAGAAGATTAGTAAACATTAGTGACACAGTGCATCATGTTCAATTCCCTGAGCTCAAAGGTGGTGGAGGACTCAGAAGTTATGAAGAAGTGTCATGGAGGCAGATTTCCTGCCCCTATCCACACCATCAACACACTTTTCCAGGGTTCTAGGAACCTTTCTGCCCAACCCTACTTTTGAGATAGGTAAACTGGCCATTCCAATTCCTTTCTCTTTTAATCTCTGCTAGGTACGATCAAGTGAGAGAATTTTGAAATCCTAGAGACCAAAGGGTTTGCGGTCCTGAAGATACTCTCAAGTGACTGTGCAGAATTCAAACTTGGCATGGTTCCATTTTCTTATGTCTTTTACTATATGGGAAAAAGAATACTTAATTGTGGAATTACTCCAAACCTCCATACAGTACTGTTCTCTTGGGTTGGATTTTGCTGCTGAAGCATGCTGATTTTACCAGTTTTTCCTCTGATGTTGCTTGTCACTGGTATTTCTTCTCTGCCATTTGAGTTCCACAGCAACTTCCAAACACTTCCCAGTTCAACCTTTTCTTCTTGTTTGTCCATCCTGTTTTTTAAATTGTGTGAGTGAATGAAGTGTGCATGAAAGGTAGGGATGGACTGTTGTGGTTGGAACTAGATGTAGTGCAAGAAGGCACAGATAGCGCCTCAATGCATGTTTGTCTTTTTTATTTTCAATACCCTCTGCTACTCTAGCCCTTTCCCTCTCCCTGCCCATTCTCAGCTCTGCTAACACACCCTGATATTGATCTGCAATACTCCTTGTTTCAATGCTGGGCTTTAAGCGACACTGAGAATCCTCATTAATTGTGCCAAACTGTATTGTGGTTTAATGATATGTATAAATAAGAAGTACGATGACCCAAATCAGGATTTGATTCCAGGCCACGAAAGTGAGGAGTAATCTCCATCCTGCACTTTCTGGCATTTCTTTCTGTGTTGATGGATGTGATGAATGTTACTTTTTCTCTAGCCTGGCAGACAGCTTTCTGTGAAGCAGGTACTAAATGACAAAGTCTCATAATCTGCTGTCTCAGAGTGCTTGTGCTGTGAACAACCAGCAGCCATTCCTCACTTTCTCCATACCCAAGCTCATTATCTCTGCAAATGAGAGACCCAAGGTCATTTCAGAACCTGGGTATCTCAGCACCACTGTGGTGCTTGCAAGCAATGAGGCCTCCTAATAGGGTGACCAGACAGCAAATGTGAAAAATCGGGACATGGGGTGGGGGGTAATAGGAGCCTATATAAGAAAAAGACCCCAAAATCAGGACTGTCCCTATAAAATTGGGACATCTGCTCACCCTACCTCCTAAGATTATTAGTTTTATCAGGGTATAGGCTTGAGTGACACTTTCACTGTAATGTGACTCTATTTTCAGGCTCAGGAGGCTATCATTCCACTTGTCTTTTCCGTGGGTATGAAAGCACAGTGGATTGCTCTCAGGTATGTTCAGGTCACACAGTCTTGTGCTTAAGTATAGCGTTTTATCTTTTTTTTTTTTAACTGAGTCATGTTGCCTTTGCATGTAAATTTTGCTTTTAGTTATAATTTTGTTAGGCATTTAAGCTAATTGGGCTGTATCCTGAGATCCTAAGGTCATCCTCAGGCAAGTTCCCATTAATTGCAATGGGCATTTTGCCTTAGGAAGGACTAAGTATAACCTGAGGGCCATGCACTTTGAGTAATCATTTTCATCAGTGTAAAGTGAGTGCCTAGTTGTGTAAAATGTTACTACTAGTGTGAGTGGAAAATTCTGAGGATTTAGTATTATTTTACTCACACTTTGCACACGTATATATGGCTACAGAAAGTGCAAGGCAATAGAGAATCAAACTGAGTAAAAAACTCTGGCTTTGACTTAATTCACTCGTGTTAATTAATTGTCTTTCACCCAAGTGACTGTTGAATGGCGTTGGGGTCAAAAATTCGGCTATCTGCACTGTGATGCTCTATTGTATTTTCTGCATTTGTTTCTCACTGAATTTCCATTGGTAGTTCCACTGCCAAGGGTAGTTCTGCAAAACATATGCCACCATATGCTACTGATCAGAGAGTATGATTCTGCCCTAAATCTTGTTTGCTGGGTGCTTGCAGGTTTACCATCATTTCAATCCAAATTTACTTGGGCAGCAGTCATTTTTAACCACCAATTGGACTGTACAAATGGAGTCTCAGGGCCTTTAAAATGTACTGCCTTCAATATTTCAAATCGGATAGCAACAGTGGCATATGGTTATTCGTATCCTTCCATAAGGGTAAAATGCTGGTACCACTTAATGTTTACTTAAGTGGCACTAGAAATTAGCTCCAAATCAGAATCCATTATTTTACTTAGCTTCTCAATATACCCGTGGAACAAAGCTCGTTCTAATGTATGAGATGAAAATGGCAATTTGGAGATGTCATTTAATTTTCTGAGCTTCCAGGTAATGTTCCTGCCACTTCTGTTACTGAACAAAGAAGGGAAAAGTTGAATATTATATGTCTAAAATAATCCCACAGGATTTCTTCAAATTGTATCTTTTCAGTACAAACATGGGAAAGGCAAAGAGCATCATTACTCTGCAGTTTGCCAAACTACTACACTGCATTTTGTGAACCTGTGATTCTGGTCTGCTCCTTGTGAAATAATAACAGGAACTTGTCTTGTTCCTGTTTATGCTACCGTTTCAGAAGCTTGGTTTCTGTCCATTGTTAGCGTGGGGCATAGATAATCCATTTTATCACATGGTCTCAGGACAAACTTGAACGAGGGCCTTCAGGAAAAGATCATCTATCAGAATAAGTTCTATGGACCAGATAAGACTGAATAAAATAATGGAATTTTCAGCCAAATATGAAATTGAGCTGTCTGTTGAGTGGGGAATTGAAGTCCCTGAAAGTCATCTGAGGTCTGTTGAGTGGCTAATAGTGTCCCTTTAAGTGATTTTAAGACCAATTAATCCACCATTATACAATAGCATTCATCTGCAATTTTAGTGCACCATCTGTGACACACAACTGGAGTCAGAAGTTTGGCAGTTTTTAATTGCCCATCTAAAGCTTCTGAAGTGCCTTTGTTATTAAAAGCTACTATGCTTACAAATGGCTTCTGTTGATCTGCCACCCAATAGGGCAATATTTTGGGCAGCTATCCTCCCACACGGAAATACTTTAGTCCATTTTACAATCAACTCTTTGGACTTGACCTCAAGGAGATGGAAATATTTAGTTTTTAAAACCGGAAGACAAGCTTTCATTAGCAGAACAACCACTTGCATTAAAAAGCAATTCATTTTTCTAGGATTTTTTTTTTACTTGCAGTTAATGATCAAATATAATGTCATTATAAAATGGTTGGGTTTTTCATGAAACGTCAAGAAGAGTCTAACAGAGCTATTAGGATTAATGGGGTTCCACATATGTAACTGAGAGCAGATATTGTCTCTTTATGTACAAAAGTAGGTTGGAAAGAAGACAATGAGCCAAATTCAGAGGTGAGTCTGAGTCTTAGTGGGTATCTGAGAGGTGGTATAACTTATGTGCTTGTATGGCCGAGACAACTTAGGCTTTCTTGAAATCACTTAATCTCACCTCTGAATTTGGCCCAGTGTGTCTGGTGAGCCAAATCATGGGTACAAGCTACACCCCCAAAAAATAAGATAGTTAAGGGTCCTTCTCCTGGGGTTCATGGTTTTTAGAGGAATCATCTCCCTACCAAGGAATACATTGGTCAAAGTTGCTAAGATATTGTGGCTCTTGGAATTCTTGGTTTGTTTTTTTGGATTGGTTGACGGAATGTTCTTTCATTTGCACTAAAATTGGCTAGTGTCTCATACTAGGATATCCCAACAATAACACAGTGAGGAAGGAGTATTTAGGTTTGTTACTTGATGGTATGCACATGTTGCTGTTTCCTGTGAATGTATAATTTCACATTGAACCTAGAAATCTCTGCCTACATCTAAGAGTTGAAACTTTCTCACACAGTGGCTCTCTGGTGCAGACCCTGAAGGTTCAGGCCTTTCCCTATACAATTAGTGCCCACTTTATTGTCCAAAGTATGTATAGTACCAAAAGAGATACAAAAGGTACAGAGAAGCAAACCACTGTGTTTTCAAATAACTGTACGGGGATCCAGTCATCTGACTCCCATTAAATAAATGGTCAGGATTAAAATCTCTTAATTACTTCTTTGAAAAGGAATCTGATGGTGCAAAGGGCTACATTAGTGCTAAATATTTGTGGGCCAATTCTTGAAGTCCTTCATGATTTGGTCCATTATTATTGAGTTGTGCAGCTAACTCTTAGAAAATGTACAGTGAAATTCCCACTTAAAAGATATCCACTGCTCTCTGTTTGATTGAGATTCAACTGCAGAAACATGGGATGTTGGTTTCTGGCTGCTATTGCTTTGTTTGGAAAGCAAGGATCAGTTAGTGGTGCTGGCAGATGAGCTGTGGATTCAGAACCTGTTTATACAATTCAAAGCATCCCAAGAAGATAGCAGGGCCTTTTCTGTTTGCAGTCCTGCCCATTCCCCTTGTCCCCTCTCCCCAGTGGATAGGTGCTCCCTGAAGAAAGCTGTGCAATTGAAGCGGCTTGTGTTGATAGCACAGTGCTGAAAGATGAAATAAAAAGAATAGATAAAATGGCTTCCTCTGCTGTGGTAGGGATGCAGAATAAGTGCCAAGTGCCAACAGCAGTCCAAGAGGATTGAGGTCTGTGTGGTGTGAAGCCCCAACCCAACAAAACACTAATATCCA